CCGCCCGCCCGCCAGCCCGCGCTATAAACTTGACCGCGCTTTTCCGAGAGGCAGACGTAACAAGGAGAAGGATTAACTGCGCGAGAGATATCGTACGCCAATGCATCTTGCTCGGCAACTAACCCCAAATCTGACCCGCCCGCCCGCCCCCACCCACCACCACCATAACCCAGGTTTGTCAGATTTGTGACTCCCTGGAGTCATGGCTCCTGCGACAATCGAAGGGGGCAACGTAAAAAGTGCAAAACCACGCCAGACTCAAGCGATTGCCACTGGCGGTCACTGGCCACTCGCTATGAATCAATAAATCAATCAAGCGGTCGATCGATCAGTGGAGCCATTGAGCCCTCTCTTCACAAGCAGGGGACAGCACGTTGAGATTTATTGACCACTCCTGCCATTTATTTTTTTCTCCCTTGGCTCCAAGTCCCCGAAATGCAGCATTTAGTGCAAACCCCACATCCGAGTTGTAACAATGGGTTTCACAGCCAAATGTTACACATTTTGGCATCGTTAAAACCCCACCAACCTGACACGATGTGCTTGGATGCGTTGGGTGGTGGAGGGTGTTAACAACACACATTTGGCCTAATCAATACATGACCTGAGTCAAGAAGTCAACTTTTAATAATAGTAATAGTAGCAGTGAAATAACTGATGAGCCTTTTGTCAATCCCCTGCTGAATGAAAGTCTCCACATGCCACGTCGGTCACGGATGTCGCTGCGAGTTGGTGAAGCGGGGCGGAGGGGAACCCAGAACTGGTTCAGATATCTCACTCGCCGCCAATATTTTGCCGTCGGCAAGAATTCACAATCGGCAGGTTCGCAGGGTCGCGCGGCGCGAGGCACCGCGCCACCGCAGCGATGCACCGAGCACGTCGGGGCGGTGACAGCCCCAGCGGTAGCGCCGGTCGCCGCGTGTTGCCGAGCGTCACGGTTCGAATCCGGCGGCCCGCCCTGGTTATTGCTGCCACTGCAGTGACCTTTCAAAAGTGTGCATCTTGTGCCGCGCGGTGGACGTTAAAGGTCACGTGACGTCGTTTGTAAGTAGCAGGCCGCTGTGTGGACGCCGGCGTCCTGGTGCTAATTGGAAGAATTACTCCACAAGTGACTCGGCAATCGTCGCCCGCTACTTCCCGCAAAAACCTGGCAGGACCCTCCTGAAAAAGAGACGTGAGGCTCACTGTGGTTTTCCTGGGCAAACGAGCGCAGTAGTAGTAATAATAATAATAAGAGAATGTGCGTGCTAAATATTTAACATTGTGCAGTAGTAGTAGTAATAATAATAAGAGAGTGTGCGTGCTAAATATTTAACAATGTGCAGTAGTAATAATAATAAGAGAATGTGCGTGCTAAATATTTAACAATTTGCTCGAGGAAGGCATCATCTGTAATTTGACAACGGATCATAATATGTCGAGTATACCCCAGACAATTATGAAAAGCAGATTGTAATTAAAATAAAGAAGCGAACGAGAACAGGATGGAAGTGGTGGTTGTTGTTGTTGTTGTTATTGCCACGAGAAAAATGTTATCGGCGTGCAATGTCGTGCGTATTCCAATGCACACAGAGTGCCCACGTCTAATTCACGCGTCGACTCATCACAGCTCCGGCTGCGGCGTACGGATCAAAAAACGCGCGACGTGGGCCACGGAAGACGGAACTCGCGCGCGCTCCGAATTCTGCACCGAGAAACAGAAAGAGGGGAAAACCAAAAAGGCAAAAACCGGAGGCGCCACGCTGCCAAGGACGTAAAGCCGTCGTGGGCAGAACACGTCTCCGTTGAGGGATCGATGGCCCATGGACGAGGCCGGCGATGGAATGGCAGCCAAAGGACGGAGGGGGAATCGTGTGCGGGAACGCGGCCGCCACCGTGGGAATTCGTTGGGGCCGAGGGCCGCTTCGCGAGGTGACGGCACCGACGATGATGACGGTGGTGGTGGTGGTGGAGACGCGCAGTGAGCACGCGTTCCATGCAAGTTTCAAGCGACGAGACACCGACGCGCGCGCTCGTGTCAACGGCTCTGTTACCCGTGAACGGCTCCTGTGAACGGCTCTCGTGAACGTTGCCCGTGAACGGCGCCCGTGAACGGCTCCCGTGAATGGGGCCGGTGAACGGGGCCGGTGAACGATGCTCGTGAACGTTGCCCATGAACGTTGCTCGTGAACGGGGCTGGTGAACGATGCTCGTGAACGTTGCCCATGAACGTTGCTCGTGAACGGGGCTGGTGAACGTTGCTCGTGAACGGGGCCGGTGAACGTTGCCTGTGAACGTTGCTCGTGAACAGGGCCTGTGAACGCTGCCCGTGAACGTTGCTCGTGAACGTTTCCCATGAACGTTGCCAGTGAACGTTGCTCTGAACAGGGCCTGTGAACGTTGCCCGTGAACGTTGCCCGTGAACGTTGCTCGTGAACGTTGCTCGTGAACGGGGCCGGTGAACGTTGCCTGTGAACGGGGCCGGTGAACGTTGCCTGTGAACGTTGCTCGTGAACAGGGCCTGTGAACGCTGCCTGTGAACGTTGCCCGTGAACGTTGCTCGTGAACGTTGCTCGTGAACGTTTCCCATGAACGTTGCCAGTGAACGTTGCTCTGAACAGAGCCTGTGAACGTTGCCCGTGAACGTTGCTCGTGAACGTTTCCCATGAACGTTGCCAGTGAACGTTGCTCTGAACAGGGCCTGTGAACGTTGCCCGTGAACGTTGCCCGTGAACGGTGTGAGCCCGAGCGGCGGCAGTAGTAGCAGGGCGGCGCTGCGCGCACTCTCACTTTGTGAACCCGGCCACCTGAATTCAATTCCCGGCCACGGCTAACATCAGTGGCCAGTGGCGTCTGAACCGACCCACACCCCCCCCGCCTCTCACCAAACAACCCGCACGGACCTGCTTGGTGAAGTATGGCCAAAGCGACCCCTCCCCTCGTGCCCGGCAGGCCTTGGGATTGACAAGGGGTCGTACATACATGTCTTGCATGTCTGCCATTGTATTTAAATCAACGACACGTGTTTGGTGGGGGTGTATATAGGAAGAGAAGTGGGGAGTAAGTGACTAGCCGGCTTATTAAATGTTATTTATATTCTCCACGATGTAGCTCATGTTTACTCTGCGTGTGTATACATATCACGTATATCACAAACCTGTCAACCCCTTATCAGTGCCCTACCTTGTTACAGACAAATGCAGACCTTATTGGTCACCCCGAGCCCTTATAAATCTCAGCGTTCATCCTACAAAGTCCCATCACAAGCGAGAAACACAAACAGACAAAACACATTATTTTTGCCGCATTGAAATGGCTGTACGCCGTATGGACCTGAACACTCAATTTCCCTGTACAAGAATAGGGACTAAACCGTGTGGGTTGACAGCTGTGGTATCATCAAGTCATTGTCTATCCACTGCTGTGTTGATGGCAGCCCCAACTCACGCATAGACCACATTACAAAGATAAAGATCCCCACGCCGCCGTGTAGCCTTAACAGACCAGAGGGGCAAGTGCTGTGAGCGAGCAGCAGCTGTGAAGGCCGGCACGGCACACGAGGGGGTGGGTGGCCAACACCACACCCGCCCGCCCGCCTTTGTCTCCCCAGTGGCGATGTTGAGACACTGCACCAGGCCAAATCGACCTGGGGGAGGCCCAGGACCGGTTCAGAGAATCGTCACTGGCGGTGTTGGCCGTGAGCGGGAATCGAACTCGGGTCGCCGGATCCGTAGCGCAGCGTAGCGCTGACCACTACACCACCGCTCCCCACAAAAACCCACGCACGCACACACACACCCACACACCCCCACACACAGACACCCACACACAGACATACACACACAGACACCCACACACAGACATACACACACAGACAGACACCCACACAGACACCCACAAACAGACACCCACACACAGACACCTACACACACAGACATACACACAGACACCCACACACACAGACACCCACACACACCCACAGACACCCACACACACCCACACACATATACACACACACAGACAGACACCCACACAGACACCCACACACACAGACAGACATACACACACACACACAGACACCCACACAGACATACACACACACAGACACACACACACAGACACCCACACACAGACATACACACACACACAGACATACACACACAGACACACACACACACAGACACCCACACACACACACACCCACACACACACACAGACACCCACACAGACACCCACACACAGACAGACACCCACACACACAGACATACACACACACACAGACACCCACACACACACAGACACACACAGACACCCTCACACACACACACAGACACCCACACAGACACCCACACACACACAGACACCCACACAGACATACACACACACAGACACCCACACACACACAGACACCCACACACACACAGACACACACACACAGACACCCACACAGACACCCACACACACAGACACCCACACACACAGACACACACACAGACATACACACACATACACATACACACACACCCACACACACACAGACATACACACAGACATACACACATACACACCCACACACACAGACACCCACACCCACACACACATACACCCACACAGACACCCACACAGACACCCACACACACAGACACCCACCCACACAGACACCCACACACACAGACATACACACACAGACAGACACCCACACACAGACATACACACACAGACATACACACACAGACATACACACACAGACATACACACACAGACACCCACACAGACACCCACATACACCCACATACACCCACACAGACACCCACCCACACAGACACCCACACACACAGACACCCACCCACACAGACACCCACACACACACATACACCCACACAGACACCCACACAGACACCCACACACACAGACACCCACCCACACAGACACCCACACACACAGACACCCACACAGACACCCACACACACACCCACACACAGAGACACCCACCCACACAGACACCCACACACTCCACTCACCCGCCATCTCGTGGGACGGCACCCCCCTGGCAGGGAGCCCCCGCGCCGCGTACGCCTGGCGCACCGCCCCGCAAGCCCGCGCCGAGCCTCCGGCATCCCCGCCAGCGCTCACGCCGGAGCCACCCAGCAGCAGTGCCGGCAGCAGCAGCAGGAGGAGCAGCAGGAGCAGCTGCAGCTGACGATGCAGCAGCAGACGCCCGTAGCCCAAGCAAGACAGCGGCGGCGAGAGAGGCGAGTGGACACGAGACGACATCGTGGTGCCGTCTCCTCCGCGTGCGTCTCGCTGTGCCTGCTCGTTCGTTCGGTGACTCGAGGTGCACTGGACGTGCCGTGCCTCTCCCGCGTGTGGCTGCTTCCTGCTCGCCGTCTGCGGCTCGCTGTCCAAGTGGCTCTATGCCAGAGCTGCCGTGCGAGGTCTCGTGCCGTGCACGCTCCCCGTGCGTGCGTGCGGGTGCAGGAACAACGATGATGCTGCTGCTCCAAACGGGTTACCGTGTGGCTGTCGAGGGGACGTGCGTTTCGCGTGCGAGATGTTACACCTCCTGCTGTACTCGAGTCACACAAAAAATATATACTCGCTCGTCGATGACACCGCCTTAAAAGGAAACAAAATATATAAGCGACGTTTCGGGCAACAGCCTCTCTTTGTAGTCGCACTCGACAGCCCTAGCGTGTCCGCTGTGTGCTGGCTCCGTCCCTTTGTGGACTCAATTAAGGCGGGTCGCTCCGTGCCTCTGCTGTGAATGTCGCGCTTACACGGATCGCCGATAGCTCGGATCCCACTTTCCCACCCACTCCGCATCTCCCTCCCTCTCTCCCTTTGGTCCTCTCCCCCCCCCCCTGCACTCTCCTCTGCGTGGGCACAGCGGCCCCTGTGCTCGTCTCGATGCAAGGTCCGATGAGACTTCTCCACTTGGCCAATTGTCATCCAATCGTGTAAACCACGACAGGGCGGTTGCTGCGTGCTCCCAGGGTATAATAATAATTGTTGTTATAGAGCTGCCCGTGCTGCTGTTGTGGTTACACCCCGAGTCGCCGTGGCTTAATGTGCCATTTGAACAAAGTTCGTTCTGGTTTGTCTCACGTGCATAACGCGCTGCCGATTCTTCGCGTTGTTTGCCTCTGGTTCGTTTTCACATCCCCCGCCTCGCGGTGTCCTGGAGCTACCACCACCACCGACCTTAGGCTGTGGTCGTGCTCATTGTGGAACTGATTTAGCTTCGTGGGGCCTCGCCTGCCGAGATTGTAAAGTCGGAATTGGCAATTGCTCGTACGGTCACGCGCCTCCATAGTTGGCAGTCCCTGCGGCAAGCCACCGCTGGATGATGAAGGCGACCCCCCCACACCGCTGTCGGTCAACAGGAGGGGGGGGGGGGGTGCTTGGCCATACTTCACCACGCTGGTGTGTACCGGTTGGTGAAATGGGCGGGGGAAGGGGTGGGCAGGGCTGGTTATCCGAGTTGTTAGCGCAGTTACTTCATTGTTTTTAAAACGTTCAAATAAAAGTCGCCTCCCTCGTCCAGACTGGCGATGGGACCTTGGTCGTGTCTGCCCAAGGTCCTCATCCAGTCAGAGAAAAATTCCACGTTCCCACCGAAGGGGACCAGGATATCCAACAACAGGCACTGTCGACTTCTAACACCCCCCCCCCCCATTGCAACAGAGGGGTGTTGGGTCGAATCGACGACCCCCGTCCTGGATTGCAACTGCGACCCCCTCTTGGTTTTGAGTGGGGGACCTCCGTCCACAGGGCCACGTGGCCCCACGGCTTGAGGCCGTAAAACGAAGGCAACGTTCCGGCAAAGGGCCTTCAGCCGGCTGTTGATATCGCGTGGCTGTTAGCTTGATTAGCACGGTTGGCTAGGTACGGTGCGACAGAAGTTCGACTACGTGCGTAATACTTCGCCAATTAAGTAGCTCTGTTGGTTATAAAGTATTGCCAATACAGTCCGAGTTGTTCGACGTGCAGCAGTGTGCGCGTTTGGGGAACAATGGAATGAGCCGAAGCATAACCCCAAAACTAACCGCAGGGCACCCAACGCTCTTTTGCCAAGAAACTGCCACGTGTCTTTGGAGGTGACAGGTCGGTGCAGTGATTTTGGTTTTTAAATGACGTCTAAACACAACAATAACATTGTTAGTTATATCTGCAGGGAGATCACAGTTTTAGCAGCAGAATTTATAAACAGACGAGCCCATAGGCGTCTGACATGAGTTTCGTGTGCAACATGTAGCGTTACATTTTGTTGGTATTATTGGGATGGAGTTTCACGGAGAGATGTAGACAATGTAAATTGCAGGCGCGTCTCAGTGTTCACCCACAAGCAGTGACTGTAACGAGCGACTTCCGCGACACGTCGTGTAGAGGGTACTTCATTTCTCACACGGGCATAACAGGCCAACCTGGTCCGTCTTACTCCGAGTACAACACTTCGATATTAACGCCTCTACTGGATACACACAGTAGCAGATCACTCGGCGTGGTCCCGCCGCCCTCACTCCGCCGAGGATGGCGATGGGATCTTCCACGTGGCCGCACGACGGAGATGACGGCAAGCAGCGACGCAGTCCGGACCCAAGACCCCACACGCGAACCCCGATCCCCGGGTCCGCCCCCGCTTATATCTCCCCGGGCGTGGCGAGGCCCCGCCTCCAGCCACGCCCTATCGTGGAACCTTCGAGCGGGTTTCCGGAGCATCTCGGCCAACCCCGCCCATTACCTATGCCCCAGATCTCTCTCTCTCCCTTTCAGACTGGATGTTGTCTTAGTGGTGCCCGTACCCGTGCTTCCCCTTTCCAGCCAGCAGGTGTCTTCATGTCATTACAATTAGCCAAGTGGCTTGAGGAGTGAATTATTTTCATATTGCAGTCAAGCAGTCGTCGTCTGCATTTCTCTGGTGTCCGTGATTTCAGTAACACTTGATCAGGAAGTAATAGCGACTGTTGACGTAAGACGACTTGACCCGGCCATAAGATCATGGAGTTTTCACCACCGGTTCGTGATCGGCCCAGCGCTATCGCGAGCACGGGAGACGGATCGTTTTGTTCCCACGAGCACGTGACAACGTCCCACAATGCAACGGTGGGGACAACAGCTAACTCCCCCAAGAAGTGGTACTCATTTTAAGATCCCCCCCGGACTGATGATGGGTTGAGCCAACCTTTGAGCGAGAATCGGTTAATTAAATCAACGGAATTAACCAAACACGCACAACTCCAAGGCCCCTCCGAAAAAAAATGAGTAATTTGGGACTCTTTGAAAGCTGCCCTGGGTAAATTAATGACGCGAATTGTTAGGACTGGATGGAAGCACTTATGTAATCGAGGACGGGCAAATTAATAGAGCATTGTGAGCACGCCGCGTCGTGCGCCAAGAGATAAATGGCAGCCCAGAAGCCACCGGTTCCATTGCATCGTCTCAAATTTAACAAACAAAAAAAGACATCAGATTAAACCTCCGGGCTTTCGGTGGAAGAGCCACGTGGTCCTCCGGCGCCCTCTCGCGTGGCGGTGGCCACATCGCAACCCCGTGGCAGCCACTGTCAAGGGGAGTGGAGTGGTGGGTGGTGGGGGTGGCAAAGCGTGAAACGAAAAGTGTCGAAGTGCAATCTGCTCATCGCGTAACCGACCACGGAGGTCAGAACCGCAGCCACGTGAAGCAACTCACGGGTGCTTTCGCATGGACCGCTCGATTCGACCTACCAGGTGTCGTGTCTTGTCAGTTGGTTGGTTTTAAAAGTGTTACGTCCGAGAGGGACAATTAAATACACACGCACGCACGCGCACACACGTGGGCGATTCGACGATGTCGAGATTCGATTAATTATCGATCAACCGCCTCGCTTTCCCCGCCCTGTTTGCAGTGGTTGCTCGAGACAGAAGCAAACGCATGATGCCTCAAGTAGCTTCAGGAGCCCAGGATTGTTTTGTTTTTAATATGTGGGTGCATCAAATATCAGCTACATCTCAGGTGTGTATATATAAATGTTGTCTAATAGCACTCTCAAATAACACTATGTAACACAATTTTTGTTCTTGGGTGGTAAGTGTTATTTCGTAATTGCTTATGCCTAAAAAGTACGGAAAATGGCTATTATTCGCCACAAACTTTGCTTTTGTGACCAGGACAGTGATATTTTGAAATTTACCTATTTTCAATGAGAAAACGGCTCAATTTGTGTCTTTTCGTTCACATAAAGTCAGAAAAAAACAACACATGAATCAAAATGATCATGTATTTATACTAAAGTCATACCAAAATGACTACAAAAGATTTAGAAGTGAGTAGTTTTTCGAGATTTACGATTATAATGTAAATCACTTTCACGAATCAGCCCCAAATGTAGTCTCCCATCATGTTCTCGTTATACTGTCCTTGGTAGCGGCGTTCAAAGTCCAGTATATCCTGGTGGAAGCGCTCGCCTTGCTTCTCCGAGTACGCTCCCATGTTCTCCTTGACTCTATCAAGATGAGCATCAAGGATATGGACTTTGAGGGACATCCTACAGCCCATTGTGCCGTAGTTCTTCACCAGAGTCTCAACCAGCTCCACAGTTTTAGACCTTGGGATTGCCCAGGAAGCCACGAACCACTGCGACAAAGCTGTTCCAAGCCGCTTTCTCCTTACTAGTGAGCTTCTTGGGGAATCCATTGCACTCCAGGATCTTCTTGATGTGCAGTGATGGCATCAGCACCTTCCGGGGGTCCACCAGTGGCTCCCACTTGACATTGTTCCTCCCCACAGAGAACTCGGTCCGCTTTGGCCAGTCCCGCCTGTGGTAGTGCGCCTTGGTGTATACATCTTTTGTAGTCATTTTTGTATTACTTTAGTATAAATACATGTTAATTTTGATTGACGTTGTTTTTTCTGACTTTATGTGAACGAAAAGACACAAATTCGTCCGTTTTCTCATTGAAAATAAATACAATTTCTAAGTATCACTGTCCTGGTCACAAAAGCAAAGTTTTGAGGCATAAGCAATTCGGAAATAACTTACTACCCAGGACCAAAAAAAACATGTGTTAGTGTAATTAACTGATTTTAATTAGTCTATTAGCTTAACAATTTGGCACATCACTGATATAATTAGATTACATAGCTTGCTCGTGTCATGTTTAGTCAGGACACGGCTCCAAAAATAATTGCTGGCTCGGGCCCCCAGGGGGCAAACCCAACGATTGCTCGTTGGTATCGTCTCAGCAGCTTGCTGCACCACCACCACCACTCACGCGCCTCGCCTCGCCGTGAATTGGGACATTTCTTTTACAATAAATTCCTGGACATCATTCAACGCTTGCTATCAGGAGCGTGTCGGTGGGATTTAAATCAACGGATCCGTCACGCACAGACTCGTCCGCCAACAGAAGACCCCCTCCCTCCCCGGGGCTGGAATCGACAAAAAAAATCCGATTATATACTTAGTTTTTTCGGTAAAGTCACGCTGAAGGAAAACATCAAAATAATAAAATATATATAACAATAAAAATTTATATTATTATTTTGTTGTTTCCCTTCAACGTGACTTTACCGAAAAAACTAAGAATATGAATTACTGCAGTCACGAAAGCTTTAAATCAACATTTAAAAATCCGATTCTCGTGAGGCATGCTCTCTCCACTGCTGGACGGAGGTCTCCCCAAGCCCACGTCATCCCTCGCCGTCTGGCGACGTCACAATGCATCACGCTACGACTCCATACGCGTCGGATGTCATCGCACGCCACCCCGTGCCCTGCCTATCCTCTCGCTCGCCGCTGGCTTATTCCGTCAGCAAGTGGAGGCCAGAGCCTACTGT